ACATACCCCATTACAGTCACTGTCCATCAGTGTAGTAAAATGCTATAGAATCACTACTTGTTTTCTCTGTGCTATACTGCCTTCCCCATGAGAGTTCATTGCTTCTGACACAAGAAAACTTTTGGAAGTAATGGACATGTTTATTATTTTGGGGTGATGGTATTGTGGATGTATGCATATGTCCAAACTCATTAAATTGTATACATTAAATATGAGCAATTTTTTGTGCCAGTTTTACCTTAGTAAAACTGAAAAATTGTTTTATAGTACTTAATTCTATGAATACATAACTATATTTATCTAACCTATTGTCAATGTACACTTAGGTTATATGTCAACTTTCAGCTATTGCAAATGGTGCATTTGAACACATGAGCATTCTTGTGCATGTGTTTTGGTGAACATATATATGCATTTCTGTTGTGTACATATCTAGAAATGGTACTGCTTGGCTGTAAAGTAGGGCTTTGAAGCTGTGATAGACATTGCCAAACAGTGTTTTGAAGTGGCTTTACCAATTTACTCACGGTGCAGGAGAGTTCTACGTCCTCCAAATCCTCACTCACATTGGCATTTCTTCCTTTTACTTTTAGCTATTTGGTGGTGTGCTGTTCTACTACATTGTTTAAATTTTTTTTCTGTCTTTCATGGTGGGGCATAAACAGATATAATCTAACATTGATAAATCAAAAAATGGTGATATTAAATACAAAAAGACTTATAAAGATTATAAATCTAAGAAACTGTCAAAAATATGGCACGTGCATTGTAACCGCTATCATCATCCCTACAAACCTCAACCACCAAGTTAAGGGGAAAGTGGACCATATAAAATAAAAAACAAAGTACACATTCAATAGAAAAATATATGACATAACAGAATTAATGAGTAAGCAGATCAACCAATACAAGAAGGCTGAACTAATTCAAAACTAATCAGACTTACACTGAATCAAAATCAAAGCCCAAGAATGCACTGTACAAAAGAAATATATTAATACATTTAAGAGCAAAAGAGGATATTGAAAGTAAAAAAAAGGGGGTGTGTGGCAAGGAAATGCAAATTAGATGAAGAAAAGGTTTGTAATATTATTACCAAATAAAGCAAATTCAAGGCAGAAATAGATTCAATATGATTAAATTAAGTTAGAAACATCTTTAAGAAATTCAAGAACTATAGATAAAATTAGTCATAAAATATTCAAAGGAAATTTTTAATTTCACTCTCTTAATGAGATATAAAGTACATGAAATAATAAATAGAAGATGAAAATTATACTCAGTACTAATTTTTATTAGGAATCAGTGTTTTATTTTGTCAAATACTTTTTATGTATCTATGAGATGATTATATTTTTTAGTTTATTAATACAGAAAATAACATTTATTGATTTTATAATGTTCAACAAGCCCTACTAGATCATGACTGTTTATATATATTATTAGACACTATTATTACATTTTTATTTTGAAGGTTTTCATCTATGCGCATGAGGGGTATTAATCTATAGTTTTCCTTTAAAGGACTTACCCTTACTCCAACCCTCTGTTTTTTCTCACTATTATGTTTGACTAGTTTATTAGTAAATCTTATTATTTTTTTTCATTGTGACACAAAGACACCATCTACATCCCACTTATACCAAGGGTAATTGTTTTAAAGGCAGATTCCTGAACCCATACCAGAATCCTGAATCAAAATCTGTAGGAATAAGATCTGAAAATAAACATTTTAAAAAGCATCAAATACTTTTATATACACTACAATTTGGTAATATTTATTCTATTCTGATTTTATTGACTATTATACATGAACTTCCATAAGTTGATATAACAGCTTTTGAAAGTGTCAACTGAATTACTATTATAAAAAAAATTAATCAGTGCACTTTCAGTTTCTCCCACATTGCCTTCACATCCTATCTCAGTTCTTGTGTAATAGATTTATTTCTATATTAATGAGAGTGATGATATTTGCTTTCTGGATTCTAATCGCAACTTCTATATTTTATAGAATTATTATATCATATAGTTGTGTTTGCCTTTAGATTGTTTAGACTATTTGTAATTAATGTGATTCCTGATGAAGTTAGATGGAAATTATCTTGCTATTTGTTTTCTATTTCTCCCATAGGTTTTTATGTTTTGCATAAAAGTAGCACCACATAACAAAATTGGCTCTTCCAAAATTCCTTTCATAATCCTAATTATATCCACTAAAAAATTGCTGTTAGTACCTATTTTTAGTAAATAAAACAGTCTAATACTTGTGGCAATAATTACCTATTTCACTTTGTCTTGGAATATAATGACAAAAAATAAATTTAAAATATTCACCTTTTTTCCCATTTATTTCTTGTTAAGATAATGCAGCACCTTTTAATTTTAATGTGACCGCACATGCTTGTACCACGATCAACTATGTGGTGTTTTGCAGGTAATTTGTTTGTTAAAATTGGCAACGGTTTGTTTACAAAGGTGAGTAGATTCAAGATTAGTCATTTTTGTCTACTTTCATCAGTTACACATTCATGAACTAACAAAAAAAGTCGGAATTACAGATAGCATGTGAATTTCTGTAACTCACAGTCTATCTTTTCTATAACCATTCTGTATGAGGATAATTTGTGAAGTCTGTGCACATCTGGTTAGTGTACAAGCAGGAAAAAGGTCAGTGTTCTAATAGTCAGTTGTCTTTTATAAATCCTCACAAATCAATCTTTAGTATCCCTTTGTTTAATAAAAGGGCTACTTTTGTTTAATGCCATGTGACAAAATCATGAGGATGTTTGCATTATCCACTATCTTCATGTTATTTCTTTATGTTTTCTGTTTTCTTAAGAAAAAAAAAGGAAAAGTAACTCTTTGTCCTTTGCTGCCATATATACTATTTCATCTCTTACCAATTTGAATATTGTGAAGACTATATTCTCCCTCAGGCAACATTTCCTTTGCCCAGTTTAGGAAGCTAATCCAGAATTTACACTCTTCTGTGGTTTTTAGACTGTCATTTAAGTCTTGTAATAATTCTTCTTTCTATAGTCCAATCAACCTACCATAGGAAAAAAAGTCTTACTTTTACTTGACTTCTCAGTCCATCTGTCCTAATGGGGCAGTTTTAAAGAGTATCTTTAGTGCATTGGTCTTGATAATAGAAAAAGGAAAAGAAAGATATAGTCAACCTGCATCACTGCAACTATGAAGAATCCAAGGAGAGGATTAGGGTGAAACTAGAAACTACACCATTCAGGCAATTCTCAAAACTGCCAGACGTCTCAAGTAATTAAGGACCGTAGTCTCCCCTCCATGCTTTCCTCTATATCTTAGGGACTGGAAACCTAATAACATTTCTCCAAATCCCTGCAGCAAGACTCAAGTTGTATTCCACAAATGAGAGATACTCACATGAATCTTTGAAAGCAGGAAAGAAGAAATAGGCATTATTATTGAGTCTATAGCGGAGATGGGCAACAGTGTGGGCTTAGAAGGAGGCAGGAAGATTTTAAGAGAGCATCTGTGCTTTTTCCCATGCACCATGCACTCTAGTGCCACAGGCATGAGCAGCAGTTTCCTTCAATGTTGCTCTTCCTGGTTTCCTCAATGCCAGTGGAAGCTTTTCCTAACCTTCACTTCTCCAGTTCCTTCAGTGGTTTTGCAAGGTTTTAATTTACTGTATTAAAAACTTTTTACTAGAAATACCTAGAATGGCTTCTCTTTAGCTATCTGAAACATGACTAATATATTTCACTGACCCTTCTGTACTTCCCTTATACAAGGTTCCAGATAATTTTGAGTGAGCCCTAAATGGAGTCTAGGTATAGAGCCCTTTCCAATTATGCAAATGTTTTTCCTTAATGACCTTCAAAAAAACAAAACCAATCTAATCCTCGCCGAACAGCATCTTTATTGATCTCCTGTACAGCTAAAACATCACTTTCCTACAAGTTGTATGATTGAAATGAGAAAAGTTTATGGTTTATAATCTTACAGATCTATCTTAAAACCTTGGCTTTACTATTTACTTAACTCATTAACTCAGTTTCCTTGATGGATATTTAGGAAGCACTAACTTCTGCCAGAGCTGCAAGTACCTGTGATACCACAGTGATTAAAACAGTCCCTGTGCCCTGCTGTCATATGCCTAGAATCTAGCAGCAAAGATTGGAGGAAGAATTTACAAAGGATAAAACATACAGGAAAAGCCAGATACTAAACAGCCTTTCAAGTCATAAGGAGATTTTGACTTTAAGATAAGAATGATGAGGAGACATTGACAAATTTTCATCAGAATATTGATTTGACAAAACTTGAGTTTTTGAAATCATTCTGGCTAGTGTGTAAAAGTTGGATTGGATGGGAAGATGACTGGATATAAAAAGACCAATTAGAAAGCTGCTACATTTAAACCACATGAGATGTAACAGAGGACTAGGGAGACAGTCAAAGCCTGAACTACTGTGCGGACCATAGGGATGGACAAAAGTGAATTGAGTCAAGAAAAATCTAAGAATTGGATCAAATTTGGGAATTAATTGAACATGTGTGATAAAGAGACACAAGAGCCAAGGATAACTCCAAAGCGTAACGCTTTTGGGGACTGAATTGATAACAGTGTCATGACTGAGTCAGGGAATATGGGAATACAAAGTGAAGGTAGGATGGTGTGTGAATCAAAATAGCAGTTTCTGTTTTAGACATAGCAGATTTGATCTTCTGATGAGACACCCACATGTGTCAAGTCCACTTATAAAGATGCAGGTTTGAAGTTCAGAAGAAACACTTGATATGAAAATTAAGTAGGCATTGTCAGAATGTGGATTCTAATTACAGCTATAGGACTCAATCTATTGACTCATATTCATATACAGAATGGAAAGAGAGTGAGATTAACCATCTAGAAGCCACCATTATTTTCCTTTTTTTAGTTCTGTCAAAGGCTTACTATTTTGTCTTGGACAAAAATTCTGATATAAAATATCACACAGTTTCTCTAATTTCCCAAATTCTTTTTATTTCAATGATAAAATCACTACATAAAAAGATATTTTATTCATGAGTTAACAGAATTAATTAGATCATGTACAGTAACTGGATTCTAATAAGTTACTACTACAACAGGTGATACAGTAGCGTACACATTTCCTACAGTATAAGAATTCTCCAAGAGAGAAAAAAAACAACAACAGGAGCCACTGTTATCTACTAGCAAATTAAGCAAAGTAACTGTTGTTTAAAGGACAGACAGCTTCTTCTTGGACAGTTATGTCAAGTCCAACAGAAAAATGAATTCTTCCGTTATGTGATATATTACAGATATATATTGTTTTTTGTTTACTTCTTAATGTATGCCACCTAGTCTGACTTCTATCATTTTCATTTGTTTTTCAGTATTCCAAAAGTATAGTCCACTTCAAGAATTTTATTTCTAGAATGGAAATAATTCAATAAGAACCATAGTAAGAATTTTAAATATATCTATAAAATGAAACTCTCCAATTTCAGAAAGTTAATGCTCATAAATAAATGTAATACTCATACTGAATTTGTTTGAAATGTAAAGAATCAATTCACAAATTCAGTCATACAAAGAAAAATATGATTGCAATTAAACTTCTTTAACAGTATCCAAAGAAGTACAACAATTTAACATCTTAATTTTTTTTCATGAACATAATTAGGTTTTAAACATCTTTGGCTGGATACTATTGAAATAAAAATTGTGTTCATAAAAATCTTTAAATGAAAAGTACTATAGCATTTATGTTCCACGATAGGTAAAATTTTACTATGTATATATCCATAAGTTATCCAAAAATATAGCTAATTCCTTAGAGAGGAAGAAAATATTTTTATGTTGAAATTGTTCCAAACAGAACATCTGCAAAGTGGAATGAATGAAATGTTTTTAACATTTCTTACCAGATGCATTCTACTTTGATGACATTAAATTGTTTTATTAGTCATGAATGGGTCCGTGGAAGATGAACTGCAACAAAATAACAAACACTACAGTGTTCTGTAAACACGAGGGCTATTACTTGTGTAAAAACTGCTTACAAATAACCACCAAATGTTACAAGTGCCACAAAATTATTTCTAATCCAATTTAATTTTTAGTGAAGCCGAACTCAGCTCCAATATAGGAATGTTCAAAAAGTTATGACAATTACGAACAATTAAAAGTGTTGAGTTGTATGCTTGTTATATAAATAGTATCTATATAAAGCAGGGACAACTTGAAATGTGAAGTTAAATGGTGGTTTACATTTCTATAATTCTGAGAATTTCAGCCCTCAACTCTTTAATTGAAGAAACCTTTCACTAAACATGCATTTGGCTGAGTATTGAAGATTTCCCCCATCATTTGCCAAATACTAATTATGTAGCAAATTCCAGTTTTCCTCCTTGAAGTTATTCAAATAGTTGGTAACTTTCACCTGCAGCTAGCTATTCCCTGATGGGTTCAGCCTTTAGGAAGAATAATAAGAAACCAAAATACAATTTAAAAAAAGAGCCTGTGGCTCCCTAGGGCCATTGATGTTTGGTAGTCTTATCATCAAATGACTGTGGTGAATTATTCGTCATTTCCAAACCATGCCCTAAAGAGACTTGAAAGTCCGGGTATTTGCTTCCCATCTTTTAGCAACGCTGATACTGACAATTCTTTGTTCAGGTTTCCTCCCCTCTGGGAAATAGTCAAAAGCATTTCTCTCTGCTTTTACTTCTAAGTCAACCTACCATCCACACAACTGTATGCAAACTTTTGTTGCCCTATCTCTGAATACAAGTAGTTTTACCTAGGCTCTGCCAACATGGCTTCCACGAAGGACACTGCAGATGCTTCCATTTAGACACTCTTTTTCCTCCTTAAAATGGAAATCAGGATGCACCTGTGAGGCCACCTCAAATAGATTTACAGCTCTGGTCACAACTCAACCATGTATTTCCACACCAGAGCTTCCTTAGACGTTGGTAGCCTCTGTGAAAGAGTCACTGGGGCCATTTTTCTTTTTTACTTTCAGGTTCTTTTTAGCCTGGAATGTCACAGACACCTCGGAGTGAATGGCGTCCAACCTCTGCTCACAGCGGAAGGCTGCGAGGAAAGCCTTTCTGTAGTTGCTGTTCATCCAGCCGTAGAGAAGGGGGTTGGCAAAGGTGGAGCACATGGCAATGATGTGGAACACGGTGAAGATGAGTTTGTACTCCTTCAGGTCCAGGACTTGGTTGTCAATGTCCACAGCCAGCTGGAAGGCATGGAGAGGCAACCAGCTGACTGCAAACAGCACTACTACACACACCAGCATTTGGGTGGTTTTCTGTCTTCGCTGATGGTAGTGATCATTAGCAGCTCCAGGGCTGACGTGGTTCTTAAGTTTACTCCAGATACGAGTATAGGAAAAAGAAATGATGCCCAGTGGCAAAGCATACAGGATTAATAAGGAAGAAAGACTGTAGACAGTGCCATAGATGCTCTTCTCCTCACCAGGCCACTTCTCAGTACAGGCCACGATCTCGTAGTCAGGATTAATCTCAATCAGCGAATGTTCACGGAAAATGGCCAGGGGGCTGGCTAGCAGGGCACTGATGCCCCAGGCCAAGCCAATGATCAAGAAGCTGATTCGCTTGGAGATCTTGCTCTCCAGGTGGTACACAATGCAACGGTGGCGGTCCAAGGCAATTACTGTCAAGGTGATTGTAGACACTTGTACTGCCAGGCCCTGGGCATAGGGCACTAGATGGCATAGAACAGGACCCATTTTCCACTCCCCCATTAAGGTGTAGATAAGAGTGAATGGCAAGCACAGAGTGTTCACCAGAAGATCTGCCACAGCCAGATTGGCAATGAAGAAGTTGGTTACTGTGCGCATGCTCTTGAATTTGATCACCACATGAATTACCAAGGAGTTGCCAATCACCCCAAGCAAGATGATGGAGCAATAGGCCAATATAAGGACAATCTGTACTTCAATCAGCTTGGTGCTGTCTATAAGCTCTGGCTTGGGGTCAAGGGCCAGCTCACCTCTAGGAGTGGTTTGCCCTGGACCATACTGCTCCACCTTCATTTCTTCCACTGTCTGGTTCTCATCAGCCTCTGCACCTATTGGACCCATTTTCAGCAACTACAACAAGAATCTACAATAAAAAATAAATGAACAAATATAGACAACAGACACAGAAGAGTGAAGCAAAAGAATATTACCAATAAATCAGTTTCATTTTGGTTGGAGTTCAAAATACCTGTCCTCTGATCCCTAAAAATCACAGAGTACATTTTAATAAAGCAGGCCCTTTAATTAGTCTATTCACAAATATGGATGAATTAAATCAGGCCCTTGGAATGGATATTACAGTGGTCGAAGGTAATACCTGTAGTATAGACATAAGTCCAAGGTGAATGCTACCAAACTGACTCAATCTATTTTAAATGGGATGAGTATTAGAAACTTTATCAATTAATTTAATAACTTATAAATTCATCAACTTAATTTTAAGGTTGATAAAGTTCCTTCCAATATTTTGACTGTTTTAAGTTCATAAACAGAGCAACAAATTGCACAGAAAACAGGTAAAACATTCAACTTTTGTCTGGCACCCAGACTTTGTATGTATAAAATATTTAAGATACACTGAGCAGATTCTACCTCATAGCCATGTTCTAGTGTAGGGGTTAGTGTTAAAAATAGGTAGTCTGTGTAAAATAGTTGTTGTTTTTTTTTGATGATCCAAAATAAACTTTCTACCTGACATACAAACTCCTACACAGGAACTACATGAAAAGTATGTCCAAATCTGGGCTGTCTCTCTCTCTATCCCATAAATATAAAAGTTTCAACATTTTTCTTCTGCAACTGCCTATGTACAACACCAGACTTTTCCTTCTGTGTGCCCTACTCCAGTCAGTGCTACCCTGCTGATTAAGCCATATTAAGTTAAAAAGCAGGTAGCCATTCTAGGCTTTCATCCCTGTTAGTACCCACCTTAAAAAGAATCCTCAGATTCATCTCTTACATAATTTTCTTAAGGGTCCTCTTATCATTTCTACCACATTAGTTTTGTCCTTCTTAATTTCTTACCATAATTACTCGAATAATCTTCTAACCTAACTCCCTTTCTCTTCTCTTGCTTCCATTCATTCATTCATTCACTTAACAAACACAAGTGAGCATCTACCAAATGCCAGGCACAGTTCCACCCTTGTAATGATGATACTTATTGAAACATGCATTCAGCAAGCATTTTAAAGCCACACTCAGAACTAGGATTTGTGCTGGGGGAAAGACAACAGGGTAGTGTGGCTCTATTCCAGGGCTCTTACATCTCCCTAGACAGAGCCTACTCCGACATTAAAATGATCTTTCTGAGGTTCAAATATGATCATATCATTTCCCAACTGTCCCCAGCTTGCTTGAAACTATATAATATATTGTTTCCCAATGAAAATTCCATTTCAAATCTATAAAAACAGCCAGATCCCAACATCATAGTGGTGGTACCTTTCAATGATTTCATAATGACAAAATGTTGCTGCCATAATTTCAGAACCTCTTTTAAATGAATTTGTTTTTTATTAATCATAATAGCACCTACCTACATTGGCAGATGAGTCATATTTATTCAGCCCATAGACAAGGCCTGACTAGGCCTTGTGTGCCCCCAGCTCCGTTCCTCACCCTTCTGTAGGGCTGACTCCTGCAGACTATGTTTTCAGGCTTCAGGTCATCACGATGCTGGCTAGCTTTGGCCAATGAGAGGCACTGCCAGACAGTTAGAGGGTAGAGGGTAGAGGAAGGGAGAAGCCAATGGGTGGCCCTGGTCCCTGGGCCCACGCTGCTTGCCCTCCTTGTCCCCCTAGCTGGAGGTAGTAATGACTCCTTGCTGATCCCTGGGTGGTTTCAACACTCCCTGTTTGGCTTCCATCGCTGGGTAATCAGTTTTCTGCATGTAATTTCTCCTCTTTTAGATTCTTGAATAGGTTCTGTTTTGCATGTTTTGCTGATAACGGAGCATATGTGCTTTCATTAATTTTCCCTCTCACTGAAGGTTCTGCACACAAAGGTTGATAATACTAGCCTACAGAAGAAAATTCCCTCTACCGTATGACTTCAAAGCTTTACTTAAACTCATCTCCACCTACCCTTCTTGCTTCATCTTTTCTGACCTGCCAGTATTTGTCTTATGCTGCTGTCATACTGAACATCCCCTGGTTCCAGCAACACATCAGATTTCCTCATGTCTCTCAGCCCTCCCTGTTCTGAGCTGGGAAGTCTCTCAGTTACCCCACCATGACTTTACAGAGCTTCTAATGCTCCAAGTAGCACACGCACACTGCAGTTGTTTTCCCACCATAGCAATCTCTTTGAGAACAGAAACTGGATTTTTTCCATTCACCGCTAAATCCTTAGCACACTAACACATGAATGGTACTCAATAATTGGGCAAAACAAACAGGAAACTGAATGAAAGCACAGTTTTACTGAATAAATGAAGTCAGCAAAATACAAAATAATAATTTGGATGCTCTTTTTTAGAGGAAATAATTGCCTATACTAACTGCCTATACAGTGTTCTTTGCTCTGATACAATATTCCTTGTGCTTATTTTGTTTTTAGTCAGATAACTTCCAACAAGAAAGTTATCCCAAGATCCCTCTTAACTCAATCCCTGATTAGAACATTAAAAATTGTCACCATATACTATAAGGAAACCTTCTAGCTCAAGAGCTTATCATACACACATCCTTATAAAAGACTTATTGCAGAGATTTTCATGTACTCATGCATTTGCTTCACTGCTGTATTCTAGTTCTCTCTGCATAAACTTCAAACAGCATGGTTGATGGAGCCCAGGCCCTCTCCTGCATTTGCCTCCATTCTTTAGTAATTAGAAGAAATGGAAACTAACCAACCAAATCTTAGAGTGTATATTTGATAGGACATAAAATTTCCCTTAGTCTAAGAAAGAGACTTTACAGAGCAAATTAGTCAATCCTGACAAGTCATTAACAGAATGAGAAAGACGCCAAGAGGTCTGAGATGGGGGTTTGCAGCAAGCTAAACTGAGAGTAAGCCTGAGATAGTAGGATTTAGGAGACTATCTGATGTATTTGCTTATTTTGCTTTTTCTTTTCAGGGTCATTTTCTTTACTTTGAAGCCCCTTTATATAAACCTTCTCTGCAGGAATGGTTATTGATCTGCAGGGTATTAGCATACAGATGCTAATTACTTTTCTCAAGCACACTACTGGCCTTCAGCCAGGTCAGAGCATTGCCCCAACAATACATATTTTATGATGGCACTTCTGGAAAAGTGGAAGAGAAAAAAAGGGTATATAGAGGGAGAGGCTACATTAAAAAAAAAGTAGACAAGAGAAAAACACTGTCTTTGAAATAAGCCAAAATGAGGCATTAACATTTTTCAAGACATTTAAGGAAAACTGAAGGGTGCAGGTTTCCTGAACAAGTAAATCTTAGAGATTCTGTTATAGAAATATTTCTTTGCCGAACAGGGACATGACTTAAGGGTTTTTTTTTTTTAACAATCCAAAGAACTTCAAATCATCTCAGTGGGAGAAAAGTTCATACCTCCGCTATATATTTAAGTGTGGGGGATTCTTTGCAAAGTACACTTACTGTCACAGTTTGGACTTGGTAAAACATAACATCTTACCAATCATAAAACCTTCCAGGAATTCTTCCCAGGCAAAAAGTCCCAGAAATCATGCTGTGGGCCCTACCTTTGCTAGTCCTGGGGGCGAGGGAAGTGGACAAAGAATGCTACAAAGAAGACATGACTGTTTGCCTAAAAAGCAGAAAGTTGAAAATACCTCACTTGCCTGTTTTTGGGCTTCTGGCTCTTCTTAGAAAATAGCCTTGTCTATTTCATGTCGTGAATTTAAATGATGTGCAAAACTTCCGAAAGCTTTTACTTTTGCCTCCTTCTTGTGCACCGTATGCTCCTGCCAGTGGGTGAGCCCTTCTGGTGGGAAAACAGTGAATGCTGGAATAAATATGTCTATTCCTGAACAGCTTTGGAGAATCAATAGGGCCTTCCCCTTTGGGCAGGTTTGATTTTTAGACAAGAGGCAGGAACAATAACAACTTGCTGTTCTGGAATGATGACGATCTCTCCAAGAAGGATCAGAGAAATAGCCAAGAATCTTCAGTAGTAAAGGAAAATTCTAGCCAAGTAGAAACTGGGGATGGTATCACCCCCACCCCCCACCTGCGGCCTAAATGAGGAATAAAAAGTCCCTACACTTCGGAGGACCTCCCCATGCCCTCTTCATAGGACCCCAGCGCTTCGTTGGGGTTTTCCTCCTTCCTAGACGCTGCATCAGGGTTAGGACTTAGACTTACTGACCCGACTCTCGCGTTTCTGCTGAAACGTGGAAGGAAGATGCGTGCGGCCAGTCAGTGCAGCGATTGTCTAGCTCGCCGACGGGAGTGGGCCCTGGAAGGTCCCCGGAGGCACGTCCTGTGGCGTCCGCTCCGACGGTGCCCGGCGCGCGGCGCGCTGGGGCTGCGGAGCGCGGTGCCGGCGGCAGTCGGGACGCGGGGAGCCGCCGCGCTCGCTCTCCTGCCCACCTCCGCAGCCGGGCGCGCTCAAGCGGGTGGAGCGGGTGAGGATGCGCAGCTCCCGGGAAGGGCAACGGGTGGAGGAGAAGAAAACCCTGCCTCCGAGAAAAAGAAACGGGGCCGAGGGCTGGGGAGCGATGGACGCGCAGCGCAGAGGGCTGGGCGGGAAGGTTCCGTGGAGCAGGCGCGGGGACAGCGGCCGCCGTCCCTCCGCGCTCTCCCCGGTGTGGAAGCTCGCGCAGCGGAACCCTGCCTAGAGCGGCGCCCCCTCGCGGGTCCCCACCCACACCCGCAAATGCCACTCTCGGTCCCAGCCGCACGGGGACCCTCAGGTTTGGGACCACTAACCGCTCCTCAGGTCCGAGCGCGGGATGGCCCGCAGAGACAGACCCCTGGGCCAGGGCCCGGGTTCACCCCACGGCCCGGGACAGGCGACGGCAGGGCGAAGGCGGGGCGGGCAGCCCCAGCAGCGAGCCAGGGGGCTGCGGTCCCGGGCGGCCGGCTGGAGGACACCGGGCGCCGGCGCCGGGCGCACCCAGGACACGAGTCCCGCGCCTCGGCGGGGCTGAGAAAAAATCCCACAACTCCCGACCAGGAGTTGCTTTCTTGTTTTCGTTTGTAGCAGCAGGTGGGCAGCTGGATCCGCGGGGAACCACGGAGAGGCGGAGCCCTCCTACGCGGAGAGCCGACGGGGGGCGCCCTCGCCCAGGCCTGGCGGGTGGGGCGCGGACGCTGCTCCAACCGGGCCGTCGCTGCGCTCCAGCAGGAAGGTAGAGTTCAAGCCCTGTTGCCCACGATCGGCTGCTCCGTTCGCCGGTGGCTGCTGATAGTTTACAAGTTGGGTAGTGAGGATTCAGATTCAAAAGCCGACAGTCTGTGTGGCGCGCGCTCCGGCTCCCGGAACATGCTAGAGTAAGAGGAGGAAACGCAGTCCCGCCCTCTCCAGGTCCTGGCGTTCCGGAGCCTCGCTGCGCCCTGACCGCGGCCCGCGCCCCTCGCCGCGGTAAGCGCGCGCCCCCGGAGCACGCTCCCCTGCAGTCCCCCGCGGAGCCTGGGCCAGAGCCTGGAGCGGAGGGCATCGGGGCGCAGCGGCATCGCGCAGCCAGTCCGCAGCGCTTCGGCGTCTGCTCCTCGGGATTCCTCCCAGAAATTATTTGAGAGCCATATCTTCTAGACGTTCACACATAGTCTCTTTCCCTTGTTCATTTGTAGAGGGGACAGCAGAATCTACAAGTTAGGAGCACAAAAAGCTGAAACTGGAAACCGAAGTCTTTCTCAACTATCCTGTGTTGGCGCTTCGCACCCATTACTTTCCCTCTACTCATCAATCTAGGGTGACTGACTGAAGCTAGGGTGGCCATCCTTGTTCACTTGGCAGTTCTCTGAAATACAAAAATAGGCTAAACTACTAAAAAAGGGAAAAAATTTTAAAAAGCCATCCCCAAAACAAACTCCAAAATAGCAGTTAAGGCCTCCCAAAGACGACTGGGTTTTTTCAGTCCTATCAGGGCTTGCCCACACCCTAATATTGCATATGTAAGACTTCTCCACACAGCCTAATCTGAAATTGATCTTCTGGTTAACGTAGAATTATGCTCACAGGAGCATAAAAATTATTTATAAAATAGAGCACCTCGGGCTTTGCCATTTACCAAGAAACAAAGGAACCAGAATTGGAAACATCCAAATGTTCTACGCAGTTCCACTTCAATTTTTTTTTTTTTTGCAGATATTTTTTACCTTGGGGAAACATTCCTTGCTCACACAAGTGTTCGGTGCAACAAGTTCTATGCTTCTTAATATATTTGGACCAGTGAGGAAGGATGTCTGTGCCAAGGGGCTGTAACTTGAAAAGAGTAGGAGTGGCTTGTAACAACAGTGGGTGCTGTCTTTCTGAGTATTTGCTTTGGAGCATTCAACTGATTTCACTGACATTGATTGCACAGATATTTTTGCCTCCTTTAGAACTGCCATTCCAAAACATCTTAGCAGTCATATGCAAATAGGCCTCCATGGGCCTCCATTATTGTAGCCTCTGATATTAGTATGTGATGTTTGACAAACTTCCTAAAATAGTTAAAGCATGACTATCAACTATTTCCTCTGCCCTATAGACCATTCCTCATGGCACATAAATATAAAAGGATTACAGCCAAAGATTAATTGCTATATAAGTAATTTCCTTTTCTACTTCTGTTTGAGCAGATGTTCTCACAGAGACTCTGAAGTAAAGGGCTTGGTGGAGAACTGAACAATTCAGTGTTTTAAGTAGTTAGAATGAAGAAATTTCAGAGACACTTTGTTAAAAAAGAAAAAGTGAGATAATGTCAATATAGAAGACTGTTTATGGTGCCTTTCCATTGAAAGCTAGTTTTTTTTCTCACCTTAATATCCGGTTTCTGAAAGATTAAATAACTTCTAGTTTATAGCAAACTAACTGAAATCACAGGCAAAACAAAGTAGTATAATGCAGCTAGAATGAAGGAGAAAGCAGTAAGCCTCATAAATCAGGAGACACCAGCCCTGGGAAGGAAGGACCTGCATAGGAACAAGAGAGAGGGCAGCAAGCCGGAGAGGAGGCATTCTGGTAAACCCCTCTGAGGTAAGTAACGCTCAATGAAGCCAATAAAATAAACGGGTGAGACTTCTTAAACAATCAAAGCCTAATAGAAAGTCCCTAGTTAGGAAATGTTAACAATCAAATTAGCTTAACAGTACAGTATTTAGTATA